TATAACTCTCTATCTATCTGCTGACTGTAACTAACTATACTAGAACCCTCTCTCTCTATCTCCTACAGCACACTACATGGGGCCGCGGTGTCAGCAGCCTTATATAGTGTGCTGCAGGGACTTAGCTGTGAGACATGATTGGGCAGAGTCATCGTGACTCTGCCCAATCATGGCTCTACATTTGTACTGAGCCCTGATTGGCACAGTCTTGCACCTGACCTGCGGTCAGGTGCAGGACTGTAGCCAATTGCCGCTTCGGACGGCGCAGTGCATTGTGGGATGTGCCGCGGTCGAACAGACCGCGGACATCCCATAATGTTCGGTGTTCGGCGAACGCTCGAACATGCTATGTTCGAGTCGAACATAGGTTCGACTCGAACGCGAAGCTCATCCCTATTAATGTTACAGGATACAAAGACATTTTAGACCATTGTGCTCTTCCAGCCTTGCGGTAACAGTTTGGTAAAGGCCCTTTTCTTGCTCCACCATGACTCTCCCCTGTGTACAAAGCCAGCTCCATAAAGACATGGTGTGACCAGTTTGGTGAAGGACCTTTTCTGTTCCACCATGACTGTGCCCTTTTGCGAAAAGCCAGCCCTATGAAGACATGGTTTGACCAGTTTGGTGTGATGGAACTTGAGTGGTCTGCACAGAGCCTTGACCTCAACCGTACAGAACACCGTTAGGATGAACTGGAACGCTGATTGCGAGCCAGGTCCTCTCATCCAACATCAGTACCTGACCTTACAAATGGGCACACATTTCCACAGGCACAGTCCAAAATCTTGTAGGAAAAACTCCCTAGAAGAGTGGAAGCTCGTATAGCCACAAAGGAATCAACTATATATCTATGGTTTTGCAATGGGATATTTAGGAACTCCATATAGGTTTATTGATCAGGTGTCCACAAACCTTATCCATATAGTGTGAGATAGTGATGGGTAAACTGGCCCAGCAACCAATGATGCTGTGTGGGTTGCTAGGACACAACTGGTTTGGGTTTGGTTCGCTTGGACGTTTGCTGAACCTAGGAGCAATCAAACCCAGCACCACCTGTGTCCTAACAACCCACACAGCATCATTGGTTGCTGGGGCACTAGCAGCTGGGCCACATAGCGCCATTGGCTGTGTGGAGGTACGCAGGCACATGATAACAACCAGTGATGCTGTGGGGCCTCCAGCATCTTAGAAACCAGGGGCGCTGTGAGGGTCTTATAGTGTCTCATTGGCTAATTAGCTGATCAAACAGCCAACGCATCAACCACTGAGGCTGTACAGGCCTTACAGTGTCTCATTGGCTGATCAAACAGTCAATGTGACAACCACTGAGGCTGTGCAGGTCTTACAATGTCCCATTGGCTGATCAAACAGTCAATGTGACAACCACTGAGGCTGTGCAGGTCTTACAATGTCCCATTGGCTGATCAAACAGTCAATGTGACAACCACTGAGGCTGTGCAGGTCTTACAATGTCCCATTGGCTGATCAAACAGCCAACATGTTTTGGGGCAGGCACAACCCTCTTCCTCAGGGTTTGGAACCAATGAGAATGAAGAAATGTCCTCAGAGCAAATAAAAATAAGAATTTAGGTCTTATTACAGCTATGGGTAGTTCTCCCAAAATCTGTAGATTGCAGGCAGTGATCATTGGTTCCTGGGACAAAGAGGAAGGTTCAGATTTAGAAGGTGGGTAAGCTGGCCAAATAGTTTGCCTATCTTGTCAATCTGCGATCAGCTTGGGCTCAGATGAAACTTGTGGTCTACCCAAACCCAAATATCATCCCAAATGTAATATTATTTAAAAGTAAAGAAAATGTATACAGTAAAGAAAATGAAAACAGAATATTATCCCTTCATCTGCAGCATTATAACAACTCACAATCTCCTTTTTCTTTTTGTTACCTTCTTTACTTCCCGTATTGTTCCTTGTTTTCTAATCAGTCTACACTCTATTTTGCGATGTTACCATTTTGGGTACAACTGTCTATTATCTTCTGATGATATTTCCCCGCTAGATAGCAATTTTTCGGTACAATGTAAGTAAATTAGATGTGGTTTTGTATAAATCACATATCCCTATTACAGAGCGGGTTTCAGCAATTCTCTGTTGTACAATATATTCCAGGATCGTCCCTCGGGCCTATTCGACATTAAGAATTGAATTATCTCTGCGCGATAAAAATGAGAAACTGTATTGAAATACAAATTAATTTCTACAAACTTTACCACATAAATTTTCCAAAGAGAAACTATCATTAGGGGACACAGACTTGCCTGGAGTTTCATGGTTAAGGCCTGATTGAGATGTTTCAATGACAACAGGGAAGGTTGGCCTTAAAAGTTATTGATGCAGACAAATGTAGAAACTGACAGATGACAAAGAGGAGAGAGTGAAAGAGAGAGAGAGAGAGAGAGAGAGAGAGAGAGAGAGAGAGAGAGAGGGAGAAAGAGAGAGATACAGAGGGAGGGGGAGAAAGGGGGAGAGAGAGCTACAGAGAGAGAGAGGGAGGGAAAGAAAGAGAGAGAGTGCGCTGCAGAGAGAGAGGGAGGTAAAGAGAGGGAGGAAGAGAGAGAAAGTGAGAGAGGGAGGGAAAGAGGGAGGGAGAGAGAGAGAAAGGGGGGACGGAGAGAGAAAGGGAGAGAGAGAGATATAAAGAGAGGGAGAGAGAAGAAAGGGAGAAAGAGAGAGAGAGAGAGAGAGAGAGGGGGGCAGAGAGGAAGAGGAGGGGGGAGAGAGAGAGGTGAAGAGAGAGAGGGGAGGGAGGAGAAAAAGAGAGAGAGAGATGCAGAGAGGAGAGAAAAGAAAGAGAGAGGGAGGAGCGAGAGAGAGAGAGAGAGAGGGGAGGGAGATAGAAAGGGAGAGAGAGGAAGTGGAGAAAGAGAGAGAGAGAGAGGGGGGAGAGAGGGAGTGGAAAAAGAGAGAGGGGGGAGAGTGAAAGAAAGAGAGAAAGATACAAAAAGAATGAGAGATAGACACAAAGGAAAAGAGAGATAGAGAGAAGGAAAGAAAGAAAGAGAGAGATGAAGGTGGGAGCAGTGCAGCCCAATGGGGTTGGTATACATGAGCCCAGGGTATATTTTTCAGCGGTCTGTGTATGGGGGGGGCGGGGGGGGTTAATGAGCACTGAGTGCATTATCTTGTGCCCTTTATCATTTCAGTGGGGGGAGAAGTACCCGGTGTGGACGGGGCTGATAGCTGGACGGACACATAGAAAAGTGTTTGGTAAAGAAGGAAACGCGCTGACATTTTTACCAAAGTGAGAAAAAGCGTCTGGAGATGAAGAGAATTTCCTGACAGACAAATTACAGTCCTCCTCACATTTCATTTTCCGCTGCGCACTGAACCTCGGATGATATTTTTAGTCCCCGGGACGAGTAATATAATAAGAAAAGGAGAGTTGTTCTTTTTGTTTTCTTTCTTCCCCAAACAAGTAATAAATAAGTTGTACTGTATTAAATTTACACCTTATCCGCAACTCTCCCTCCCTGCTCCGTCTCCCCTCGCACCCTTGTTTTATTTCTTGTTTCTTGCCGGAACTTAAAGTAAAACCTGCCAAATAAGCCCGTGGAAGGAAAAGCAATACTGTCTGCAAGATGTACACTTCACCTGGCATGGAACTGGAATATTGAAGAGGAGCGAGCATCAGATGTTTTCATGTTAAGTGCAGCGTGCTAAGTAATGTGTCAGTGTCACACTTCCTGCTATTTATTACCTCTCACAGAGATCAAAGCACTCCCTCTGACAATGACTTTTGTTTGCTATTTGATTTTTTTTTTTTCACAGAAGGACAGCGCCATCTTTGTTCAGACATCATCCATGATCTACATCTACTTCCTGGATTAAAGGAGAACTATGGGGTTAAGGCTTTTCCCCATAGTTCTCCTTAGGGTAATGGGAGGACACACACTAGCGTCCTCCTGTCACCCTAGGCTCAGTATACTGCAAGCTGTAGCTCGCGCTATACTGAGACGCCGCAGCTGAAGCGGATCCCGACAATTATGTCTGGATCCGCCCAGCTGCGTGAGTGACAGCTGGCTCTACCTATCTAGTGAAAAGCACTCACCTCGTAGTTCTCCTTTAAGGTGCTGGCTGAGAGATGACACAATCTTGCAAATCCCGGTACCTCTTCTTGGCTCTGTTCACAAATGTCTGGCACAGAACAGCCCCTGCCGCAGCCTCTCACCTTGTGACTTGTTACAATGTTGCAGCCTGATCACTAGAGGAGACTGAGGAAATGATTCTTCCTGTCTGTAGCAGACTGGTGACATCCCCTCGGCAAAGTTACTGTGTTGGATGTCTGTGAAGGTTCTCATTCATCCAGGTCATGGTATATCTGTAAAAGATAAGTCAAGGCAACTGGACTTGCTGTATATTTCTTGAAGACGTTTCACTGGCCATCCGACTAGCTTTTCCAATTCTGAATAAAGAAAGCTGGTTGGATGAGCAGTGAAATGTCTTCAAGAAATATACAGCAAGTCCAGTTGCCTTGACTTATTTTTTTACAGATTTACTATGTTGGAGCTCAAGGACGGCTGTTTAATTATAAAAGGTGGAGCTTTAAAAAATAAAAAAAAAAAACTGTACTGGTGCCTTATATAAGGACCCATTGGCCATTTGGTTATGCAGACTTTTTTTTTACAGGTCACTGCTGCACATTAGCAAATACGTTAAATCGTATTTTGTTGTATATTAATATGCATTGCTTTAAGGCAACCCATTCATTTGAATAGGCCATCACCACACTGCAATGAATTGCCGTGCGCTGTGGTGCACTGCAGTGCAGGTGCTTTGGGGAGCCTTTCAAAATGAATGGCGACATACTGGATTGCGGTAAGTGCTTTGCCATGCGTTGAAGTAGCATGGGGGTAAAGTGTGTGTTTTATCATGTGCTGCCACAAAGCATAGATGGAAGTTCCTGAAAGAGTCACTTTAAGCCTAAGATTATCCACTAGGACAGGGGTAGGGAACCTCAGCGTTCCAGCTTTGATGAAACTACAAATCCCATAATGCCTCTGGGAGTCATGCCTTTGCCCAGGGTCGTCTCTATAATAAGGCAGCCTGAGGTGGTCGCCACCGGCAGCATCCCTTTAGGGGGGTGGCCAGAGCATCCCAGGTTGGTAAGAGCTCTTAGCAATCCGTGACGCTCCTTCTGGCTTCCCGCCCAGCTCACTGATGTCATCGTTGCCAGGGAGCTGAGCGGGATGCTCTGGCTGGTGTCCTGCCGAGCTCCTGGCAACCAGTGACATCAGTGAGCTGGGCTGGGCTGGACAGAGAGCCACTCACAGGCATGACCCTCCACATCCATCGCCGGCCTTCCAAAGCACTATCAGCAGCAACAACAACAACCCCCCCCCCCCCCCCACCCCCCCCCCCCCCCCCCCCCCCCAGGTGGTGGTTATGGTAGGGACGGCCCTGCCTGTTGCAGAATCTTGCAATGCCTCATGGGACTTGTGGTTCCATAACAGCTGAGTTTGCCTACCCCTGCACTAGGAGACTGTCACTTTAAATCATATACATGACCACAATGAAGGTGCCATGCATTCTCATTGACTTGTATGGAGAAATAAAGGCAAAGTGCAAATTGATTTCATACTGACTTTCATAGGTACGTAAGGCCTCTATGCTATCCAGTGATCAGGTTTAAAGCCCAACTCTGGGCTCAGCCATCAATTGCCCCTCGAGAACCCTTCCACTCTACACTGTTCTCTTCTTCAATACACTGTGGATATGCCCTGGTGATGCCCTCTTAGGGGGGCAGGGCCATGATGCCCATTCATTCATAGTATGTTCTCCAGGTTTAATGACATGGACACCTTATGTCTGGAATAGAGGGGGGCAACTCACAACTCTGAATTTAAAGGAGAACTATGAGGTGCTTTTCACTCACCTCATAGTTCTAGCCGACCTGTGACAATTAGACTGTCACAGGTCGGCTCAGTAGATCGGGAAGTGAGCCCCCCACTCCGATCCGCCGGCGCTGACTGGCGGATCGGACGGGGGATGGGCGGTTACAGCTGGCTCTGCCTCTAGATAGGCAGAGCCAGCTGTCACTCACGCAGCTGGGCAGATCCAGACATAATTGTCGGTATCAGCTTCAGCTACGGCGTCTCAGTATACAGCTCGTGGTATACTGAGCATAGGGTGACGGGAGGACGCTAGTTTGTGTCCTCCCGTTACCCTAAGGAGAACTATGGGGAAGAGCCTTAACCCCATAGTTCTCCTTTAAGGTTATTATTGAAGCCCCCAGGGTGAGGGCGGGGGGTGTATAAAAAAATGCCCAGAGCTGCGCTTTAAATTCATACCGCAAAGCGAAAAACTCAGACTGTTTTTATTTGTTTGCAGAACGTTCTTTTTTCTCAAAAGTTAAACATAGACCCCATTTCTAATCATTAGAATTTCATTCGCCACTTTGTGACAACATTTTGAATAAACCTTTTCTCCGGACCCGACAACAGATACAACGGAACTCTTTTTACAATTCTGAGCCCTCCAAATCTACGCGGCTCCCAAAAACCTTTAACCGAGAGAAAAGAAAAAAAAGCTTTTAACCTTATTTTTCCAAGGAGTAAAATATTCGACGTCTTCCCCCTTCTTCTGTCTCTTCATGTTTCCCTGTTAGCTAAATGCTAGCGTGTTCTGTAACCTTTTAAATTGCTTTTGAAGACAGTGTCACTACATTACTATTAAAATCAGAAATGCCACGAGATGGTAATTTCAATACATAAATATGTATATGTACACACACCGTCACAATTCTAAGACAGTAAAGAGAAGGGAGATTTGGGTCTTACGGCACCAATTAGAACTGTATTCAACTTTAACCTCCTTTGGTGCAGGTGGAGGTGTGGAAGCAATCTGTACATAACATTCTAAGATCTATGAAAGGGATGCTGGGACTTCAAACCTTATCAAGTCCAAAATTAGTTTCCTACAAAATTTGATAATGATGAACAAATGTAATCCTTGTGTTCCTATTTTATGCTAAAATTGGTTTCTGTATTCAGACAGCTTTGTGAAAATGGATATATATTCAGTGACCCTTATATTTACCATTCTTATATTTGTAGTTGTCTTGTGGCCCTGAAAGTGGGGTGGGGGGGAGGGGGGGGCAGTGGTTGGCACCTGAAACGCATTGGCTGTTTTATATGACCAGTTATGATATGAGCAAGGGATGCATCAATACTGTTTTTTTGGTATCTAGTACGAGTACCGATATTTACCTTTCAGTACTTGCCGGTATCGATACCGCTACTTCCACTAGCATGGAGCCAGCTTCCCGGGCAATCAGGAAGCCGGACAGCTTATCATTACCCGGCTTCTTGATTGCCTGGGAAGCCGGCTGGCATGCTGTTTGGCCGGCTCAAAGCTGATTGGCCGGGTCATTGCCCGTCGCCCGGCTTCCTGATTGCCCAGGAAGTTGGCTCCATGTTCCCACGCGGCACTGCCGGTCAGAGGAAATCTCCCTCTGACCGGAAGTTCCGGTATCGGAGGTAAGTATAGGAGCATTTGGGCAAGCACTAGTACTTACCCAAATACTTGGTATCAGCACTGATAGCGATACTAGTATCGTTATCGATGCATCCCTAATATGAGCAATGAAAGCAATTTTGGACGTTTTCAACATTTGGATTGGTGCTTATGGAGTATGTGAGTGCTTTTTAGTGCCATTCCACGTAAAATATTTAAAGGGTAATTCCAGTTTCCCAGCAAATGTAGATAAGTGAAATTACCCCCGCAAATTGGTTCCCTCTGTCCCCCTCATTAGTCATTCCTTTAGGGAAACCACACCCCTCCTTCCTGCTGCAGCCGGTGAACATCCCATACACCGTACATAGCATTGCAGCCCAGTACTCTGTATATGAAATAATGTTTACCATTATTACCAATGACTGCTTACCATTTGTGAGCATCATACTCCATATACAGAGTACCGGGCTGCAATGCTGTTTGCACTGGCT